GCCTGTTCCGGTCTTGTCTATGTGGTTCACCGTTAAATTTAAAGTTATTCTTTCTTCCCCATAATCTGAAATAATTCTGACAAATTTTCTTATCATTCTTTGTCGACTTCATCCAGTTGTCGTAAACACCTTCCTACTGTTTTATTAAACTATCAGCATGTAGTATTCCATAAGCCGAATAATCATTTATTTTGAATTGAATCCTAGTAACAACCGATTCCATCATTTATGTTCCCTCATGACTTTTCTCAGTTGAATTCCTAAGCTGCATAATATTACAAACAAACGAAAGTAGTTCAGCTTAATACAGTTGAGACTACCAGACATGTACGTGAAGTACAAACGTGGTCACATGTAACTGAGTTAACCAGTTTATAAGTGTGTCTGAGTGGACACATGTATACGAAGGACAAATGGCGATATACACGTGAAGATGGTGGAACATGTACCCAAATGGCTATAAAGGCAATTTAACTACTGAATATTGATAAATGCCCTCAAAAGGCAACTATCTTCATCCATTGAAAAACGCAGGATATATCTGAGTCACAGGGTTGATATTAAACAGCCTTTGCAATTTAGCATAGATATTGCCAAGACTATACAGTTAGATTAGCTGACACGCTAGCCATATGAGAATTCTAGAACTCTTCCCCACAGCTTCCTCCTAAATGGCAATGTGTTGGAAACGATGTATCCTTACTCTAAGACTATCTCGGTTGTATTTATCCAATCCTATTGGTCTCAAAGCTAATTATTCTATCAAATACTAAGTTCCGTCTATAAATCTTGACAGAATAATAATGAAACGTGATCTATCTGAATTATATAATGTATTTGCGCAATACATTTCGAGCAATTTGATCACGTACGTACTCGCTATTGATATTTATCCGGAAGGATATGGTATAAATGTTTTTATAATACACATCGTAATAGCTAAAACAAGAAAACTCTCCAGAGACAGGTTACTGTAATGCATCGCTAAAACAATTTTAAGATTTGATAAGTTTGACCGTAAGTATATACTAAAGTTATTCACTTTATACATTTGAAAGCAAAATGAAGCATAAAAACCACTCTACAGTTCCGTTTTCTATTTAGGGATAGCTTACGAACTATTCAACATAGGTCTTCAATTGTATGAGTTTCCATGTTTCAACTTTAAACATACAATGAAATAATTGCATGTAAACAGAAAGTTTAAACTCAGTTGAAACAGCTGAGTTGAACAGCCAATAGTCTTGTTAGACCGAGCAGGAAAATAGCTGATTGGTCAGTGTTTATTACATAAAAATGTGGACCAAATGTTCGTCCTTGACCTTGGTCAATGGTTGTATCATCAAATTTTTATTGGTTCATTATTGACCAGTGTCTTAGAGGACAATTTTTCTATAATCAGCTCTACAGTTATCGGTCCAGTAAAATAACTATATCAACAGCCATACCCATAATCTTTTTTCGCATTTTTCTGCGGGGATAAATCTTGCCTCCTCAGTCTCGTCTTCTTTGTCTTTCAGTAGTGTGTGGACAGTATCCCAGTCATCCGTATCCATTGTCAAGTGTAGAAGTTTTGTGGGTGTATAACGGCAGTTCCTAATCCGTAACACATCATTTAGCCAATTCAAATTTTCTGTAATTGGTTCGCTTTTATCAGATTTTATTCAATAAAGTCTTGCATAAATAGTTATAACCTCGCCTGGTTAACTAGTTCACTAGTTACTAGCCGGTCCTAAGCCCGGGTAAAGAGGGAAGGTTGGGCATAGGGCTAGCAACCCTACCCCGTAAAACAAATCTAACCGCTAAAGAAACTTCAAAGCACAAACAAAATATAAAAAATGAAAACAAACTTATTCCCCGCTGGAATCGGAGAGGCGAAATGACGCCAGTTGGTGAAAGCCTTCGGGAAGCCAATTGGCCGATGTGTCTTCTCTCGATGAAAGCGAAAGTAAACGTGGGGACATGGAATGTCCGCACGATGTTTGAACCCAGTAAGGCAGCCCAGATTGCAAAGGAGATGAGAAGGTATAACATCGAAGTGCTTGGGATTTGCGAAAGCAGATGGAATGGGAGTGGACTCTCCAAACTGTCAACTGGAGAATCAATAATCTACTCCGGTCACCCAGACGCCAACCACGAGCACACTGAGGGAGTGGCTATCATGATGTCCTCAAGAGCATCGAAGGCTCTCATGCAGTGGGAACCAATCTCCTCCAGGATCATGACAGCAAGATTCAACTCAAAAGGAAGAAAGGTCACAATCATACAATGTTATGCACCTACAAATAATGCAGAGCAAGAGAAAAAGGAGGAATTCTACAGACAACTTCAATCAACACTGGACAAGACGTCAGTTGGCGATATCAAAATTCTAATGGGCGACATGAATGCCAAACTGGGAGGGGACAACACGGGAAGAGAACTAACCATGGGTCGAGAGGCGCTAGGTGAAATGAATGAGAATGGAGAATTGTTTGCAGAATTCTGTGCATTCAACGATTTGGTGATTGGAGGCAGTGTGTTCAGGCACAAGGATATCCACAAAGCGACATGGACTTCACCAGATGGACACACTAAAAATCAAATCGACTTTATCTCAATCTCAAGAAAATGGAGACGCAGTCTACTTAACACAAGGTCAAGAAGAGGAGCAGATGTAGGTTCAGACCACTATCTAGTGCAAGGAACCTTCCAAATCAAGTTAAAAGCCTTCAAGGAAGCTGGTGATAGACCTCAATTCAAGTACAACACTCGGAAACTGAAGGATGAAACTACAAAGGAGATCTTCAAAGCAGCCATCAAGACAAAATGGGAGACATCGAGGGACATCCCTGAAGAAACCTGTGTGGAAGAACACTGGAAGTCTTTGAAAGCTATGTGGAAAGAAACCTGCACAACAGTATTAGGAAGGAAGAAGAAAGAAGACAAGGAATGGATCTCGACGGATACCTGGAAGCTGATAGAGGAGAGGAGGATGGTGAAGCAGAAGATAAACCAGTGCAAGGATGCTCAACGACAAGAGGAACTGAGCACAATGTATAAAACACTGGACAAAGAAGTGAAGAAGAGTGCACGCAAAGACAAAAGACACTTCTACGAAACACTGGCAAGTGAAGCAGAACAGGCTGCAGGTAAGAGAGACCTGACGACATTGTATCAAATAACCAGGTTGCTATCAGGGAAGAGACCAACACAGATGAAACCAATAAAAGATGAAGAAGGAAATTTAATTACAAAAGAAGAGAAACAGAGGAAACGATGGGCCGACCACTTCAAGAAGCTCTTGAATCGACCACCACCTGCACTTCGTCCAGAAATACCACCTGCAGCCGCTGAATTACAAGTGAACATAAATCCCCCAACGAAAATGGAAGTCCTGAACGCCATAAAGCTACTGAAATGCGGGAAAGCAGCAGGACCAGATGGAATACCGCCAGAAGCACTGAGAACAGATGCAGAGACAACAGCGGACATGCTCACACCACTATTGCAGAAGGTGTGGAAGGAAGAGAAGGTACCTGACGATTGGAAGAAGGGTTACCTTGTCAAACTGCCGAAGAAGGGAGACCTCAGTGCTTGCAAGAACTGGCGCGGAATCACTCTCCTGTCCACCCCAAGTAAAATATTAAGCCGCATCATCCTGGAGAGGCTAAAAGATGCACTGGATTCAAAACTACGACCGGAACAGGCAGGCTTCAGGAAGTACAAATCATGTGCTGACCAAATTGCAACGCTTCGTATCATCATAGAACAGAGCGTAGAATGGCAATCAGCTCTCTACCTCAACTTCATCGACTTTGAGAAGGCCTTTGACAGCGTCGACCGAGAAGTAATTTGGAAACTGCTTCAATACTACGGAGTACCGCAAACCTTTATCCGCCTCATTCAACAACTATATGAAGATGCCACATGCCAAGTAATCCACAATGGGAAGCTCAGTGATGCCTTTGAAGTGAAGACAGGAGTGAAACAAGGTTGCCTACTATCCCCCATGATATTCCTTATTGTGGTGGACTGGATCATGCAGCAAACAGTAGGCAGCGAGAAGAGGGGGATACACTGGACGACGGAAAAGAACCTAGAAGACTTGGATTTCGCCGATGACTTATGCCTAATGTCACATAAACTTGAAGATCTGCAGGCAAAAACTAACAAGTTGACAGAAGAGGCAGCCAAGACGGGACTTCAGGTGAATATAGAGAAGACAGAAGTGATGAAGATACCGCACCACCACCATCAACAACAACAACAACAAACTCCAATCACCGTCAACGGGAGAAACTTGAAGGAAGTAACCTCCTTCACTTATCTAGGAAGCACTGTTTCAACTACAGGCGGGACGGACGAGGACGTCAAAGTCAGAATCGGAAAAGCAAGACAGGCGTTCATTAGCCTGAAACCAGTGTGGAGATCTTCTGCACTCAGCATGCGGAACAAGATACGGATTTTCAACACCAACGTCAAGTCAGTGCTCTTGTATGGCTCAGAGACTTGGCGCGTCACGAAAGGCATTTCCAATAAACTACAGACATTCATCAACAACTGCTTACGCTCGCTGCTGAAGATCAGATGGCCAGAAAAAATAAGCAACAAGGAACTCTGGGAACGAACCAACCAAGAACCTATCACGCAACAAATATGCAGGAGGAAGTGGAGATGGATTGGCCATGCACTGAGAAGGCCGACTGAGGACATCACGCGTCAGGCCAGTGCTCGAGTGGAATCCCCATGGGAAGCGACGAGTTGGACGTCTGAGGGTGACATGGAGGAGGTCATGCGAGGAGGAAATGAGAGCTTCTGGGCTGTCGTGGAACCAGGTTCAAAAGATCTCAGAGAACAGAGGTCACTGGAGGCGTGCTACTGAAGCCCTATGTTCCACTAGGAACCCAAGGGACTAATAATAAAATAATAATAATAAATAGTTATGTCAGACATTCTAAATTTTGCTGACAATATGATTTGCAAAAAAACTTGAAATGCATGTGATCGAATTAAATTACCTCGCTCGACAAGATTTTCAATAATTTGTTCTGAAGAGTGGGCAGCAGCTATATGCAGGGCGGTTCTACCAAATTTGGTCTTAGCATTTACATTTGCACCTAAAATGAATAAGGAACCGGAATGAGGAGAACAACTCACACAAATTGGTCACTGGATGATAAACACTAAATGACTGAAGCCCATAGATCCAGTTTGAAACCTGGCATCCCAGCTAAGTGAATATTTCTGTGAACACATCATATTGCATTTCTCTTGGAACCAAATATGTCTCTGTGTATTGAGTACTTTCAATCGATAGCTGCTACCTTCACGTGGTAGTCGGGCTTGCATATCACAATCACCCAACGAGCTATGTTGGTGGTCTCACCACTAGAAAGTTCTGTTGAGTAGTAGTTAGACAGAAAACAGTTACCGTTATGGTGTAAGTTGCTGCGCTATGATGGGGCGTCCGAGGGCAAAGTCATACTGCTAGCTGTATGGGCGCTACAATGCTTCCCGTGAATGACCAGCAGTATCACGCTGACGCTACCTTTCTTATGAGGAGATTAGAAACGTTCGGACCAAAAAATAGCACATTCCCATTACCCTGTGGCATACCCGTGATATGAGTTCATAGTTCGGGTCAAAACTAACGATCTTACACCTCGACCTTGAGAAAAAGCTGTATGTAACCTGCCTCAAGCAGATGTCCGTCGGACTCAACCATCACGTAATAACCTTTCTTTTTCAGGTACCTTAAGGAGAACTAGCTTTCCTCGGTGTGGGTACTCGGGAAACGTCAAGTGCTCCCACAATTCTGCCAGCCTTCAAGTTCCCTCAGATCACTGTCCACCTTCTAATCCTTAATTGCTAGTGCATTTTTACTTTTCTCGGCCAATAATCCTACTTTAACTTTGGTTTGTTCCAGTTCTAGCGCTCTTGACAACGATTTGAGCTGATGGAATGGTATCACTGGTCCTCTAAAATCGCGTTTTCAGCTAAACATTGGAGCTTCCAATGTCCTTACTCTTCGTCAAATAGGCCAACGAGCTTCACTAGCAAGAGCTCTAGCATCTCGGGTTAGGAAGGTGTGCTGTGTTTCGAAACCTTAAAATTTCGGTTTACAATTGTTGAATATACTTTGGCCGATATATCTACTATCTTATCAAAAAAGCCTCTGCATCTGAAAAGCAGCTGATACACTTCAACACAACCAAAGGGCAGGCAACCAGTCAGTTTCTCTGGTATCTATGAAGATTTATAATAGTGACCACGTTTCTCCCTCTTCTTTTATTGTACATAAGAGACTGGATGAATATTAGTATTTCTTTGCGCTTGATATGACATGTGGGTCAGAAATCTTAATTTTTTCTTCACATTAGATTGGATATTGTTGCGGTCAGGATAGAATTTTAAAAATTGACGGTCGAAACAGATAAGCGGAAAACATGGCTATTTCACTGAGGATGATAGACGAATGGAACTCCTCAACCAAACCAATGTTATAAGATTCTACAAACGATATATATATTAGGTAGGAATAGTTTGACTTTGGGAGAAATAATTATTGCAAGTATTGACACATGCTAACTAGTCTACTGAGTGGAAGAAAGTACAGACTCAGAACCACGTAAACTTTCCGAACATAACCCTGGAAAGGTACAACGTTTGATAAATCAGCTTTTACCGGAAAACATACCAGGAATCACCTTACTTAAGATGTATAGAATAGACAAAAAGAAAACAGTCCCTAGTGGAAACAAGTTTCAACTACTTAAAGTCATGTTCAGGTTAACAGATAAGAGGGATCAGATTCTGAAGAACGGTCACAGACTTCAAGGATCTAGATTTTTCGTCAGTAAGGATTTGACTGTTGCTGAGTGAAACAAAAAACGAGAAGCAGAAGCAGTTGGAGAGCAAGATCTGAAAGTAGTGGGTCTTCGTGTAGTGAGGTTTCGGCAACAAATGATACCGAAGCCTCTATGGATAAGACGGAAACTCAGTTAAGTAGTTTTATCGTCTTGTAAACATCATCAGTTTGAGGAAACTTGAGTGCTGATAGAGTTGTGAGAGCGGTTGACACTTCCCGGCTGCCCACACCGTGGAAGGCTATTTCTTCTTACGATACCTGAAGGAGTTTGTGCGACCGCAGAGCCCATCGGACATCTGCTTGAGACCTGTCACACGAAGCCTTCTGTTTATGATTATTTTGAGCTTATGCATTTTGGGGGCCGGATGTTAGAAAAGAAACGACAAATTAACCAACACCATCGGCCCAGCAGACCATGGGGGTATAGGGAAGTGTGTTATTTTCGGTGCCGACCTTTTCTAACCCCTACCCCGTTCCACTGAGAAGGCAGCATCAGCATGGCACTGCTGGTCATTCAGGGGAAACACCTTAATGCTGTCACACGCCACCCAACCAGCAGCAGTACGACTTCGCCCTCAGACCCCCATCATAGTGTAGTAATTTGCACCACAACAGTAACTGCTTTTTATCTTACCACTATCCAATAAACATTTCTGGTATGATAGGACCTCTAGGGAACAAGTGTTCCACCAGCATAGCTCTTTGGGCCATTGTGATATGGAAGCCCGACCGCCACGTCAAGGTAGCAACTATCGGTCGGGTGTCTTGTACACAAATGCACGTAGTCTCTTAAACTAGTTGACTGAGCTTAGTAATGTGATAAGCATAGAAAGTCCTGACATCACTGCTCTCTTCTCAGATCAGTGACTGTGAAACACAGTTACGAGGATTTGTTCCTTTTAGAAGTTACAGGTTAGCATGCTAAGGTGGTGGTATTATCCTTTACGTTGAGAATACCTAAATTTTAAAAGCCATAGAAACGGTTGCACATGTAAGTGGGACATGTGAAATGCTGCGCTGCCAACTAAAATGCAAGGGTCAAGATGTTAACGTAATTGCAAAATATCGAAGCCCTGAATGTGAGGCAGCAGATTTCCTTCTCAATCGACTGATCCTCTAGACAGATAAATGCCGATGCCTAGTTATCGGAGACTTCAACATACCTTCAGTTGACTGAGATAGACTGACAGCAAAAGCATCACAAGTTAGTGGAAACATGAATTTCTTTAGCCTTCATACAGCACATTAGGAACCAACCTGATATGATCATCATCGTGCTTCATCAGTTCTAGACCTAGTTTTCTCACACACAGATGATGTATGCTTCATCCAGAACCTTACACTCCTTGATAAAAGTGATCACGCTATGATCATCTTCAGATTCACAGCAAACGTCTTGTACCAGAGCAGTTCCCCAGCTGGACACAATATATGGAGAGTAAATATGGAAGCTATTAACTTGTTAGCCTCTTTGGAGGACTGGAAAGCAAATTCAGAAGCCTCAGTTGAAACTGCATGATGCTTTTTCAAACAGTTATATGCACAGGTGACCCAGACGGGACGGCAACACTGTCCTCCGAGCATAAACTACGAAATCTGAATCTTGCTTCGACATAAGAAGAAGCGTTGGAGTTTTGCCACCCACGTCGGTACTCCAGAATCGATGAAGCCTTACAAAGTAGCCCGAAATAAATGTATCACTGTTATCCGCCGGTCTCGAATGTGTTGTGAAACACGTATTGCCCAGGCTGCATTGCAACGTCCACAGAGGTTACAGAACCATAGAAATAAGATGTGTCATAGTATACCCGCCCTAATCAAAGGAAGAGACGCTGACTGTTTGATTGAAGACGATAAGGAAAAAGCAGAAGCTGTGGCTAGACATTTTGTTGTCTTTAAGCAAGAATCTTTTGTGGAAACTTATTTAACAGTATAAGCATTGACATACAACAGAACAAACTCTGTGGATACCGGTCGCAATGACGTATTTCGGACATTAAGTACTCTCGATAAAGAAAAAACAAAGGGACCGGATGAGCTGCACCTATGGCTGCTCAGAGAGCTTGCACTCTATGTAGCCGGCCCATTGACTACTATATTCAGACTCTCTAAGTGAAGGCACACCCCCATGACTGAAAGGATGTCATGGTAACACCTATCCACAAGGCAGGTTCTGGGCAGCACCTATCAAATTACAGACCAATAAGTTTGACTAGTACCATAGTGAGAATCCTATAAAAAGTAATCAAGAAAGCCATCACAGTCCACCTAGAGAGCAACACTCTATTGTTTCGTTCACAGCATAGCTTTCGTAGAAGTTTCTCCTGCTTGACCAACCTCCTTACAGTCACAGGAAGCTGCGTTAAGTCTAAAGATGATAGGATGCCTGTAGATGTCATTTTCATAGACTTTAGTAGGGCGTTCGACAAGGTATCTCATTATAGGTTGCTCGGGAAACTGAAAAGTTTTAGCAGTCTGCTTGCATCGACAGGAGAGTTCTTCGTTGGTAGGAGACAAACAGTAAAAAATCGATTCTCAAATCTCCTCTTGGAAGTTGGTAGAGAGTGGAGTGCTGCAAAGCACAGTCCTGGGTTCCCTGCTATTTCCTTTACACGTAAATGAGCTGCCAAATATAACAAAATCTCCTATGGTTCTCTACGCTAATGATGTAGAAGTCTGGTGGAAAATTGGGAACGGCTAGGATATACGTGCACTTCAGAAAGACCTGGTCAGAGAAGTGGCTGATGCCCATCAATGCAGGTAAGTGTGTGAGCATGCACTGAGGGCTCACACATGGCAACACCTACGATATTGATGGGATTCCTCTACCATCAGTACTGACCCACAACGACCAAGCAGTCACAGTGAGTTGTGGTTTGAAAGCCACGACACACTGTCGATTGGTAGCAGTTCCGAGTTTTAGGACACTTCGGGCATTACGTAGAACGTTTACGAAAATAAGTGGTGATGTGTTCACCATCTTATACACATCCTTAGTTGGGTCTAAATCAGAAACCTATACATGAGCAGCAAATCCTCATCTTAAAGGTGACTCAGACCTTCTAGAAGGAGTTCAGAGGGCAGTCACTTGTATGACTCGTATGATAGCTGGCCTAACCTATGAAAATAGAATTAAGGAGCTGAAGATCTTCTTTTTATCCTGTCGCAGACAGATAGAAGATCTAATTATGCTATACAGGATTCTAAGAAATGACTTTGGACCTGGTCTATCTTTTTTTTTCCCTTCCCACTAGGTTGGGACACCTCAGAGGATACAGCAGGGAATGCAAAGGCAAACAAAGAACGTAATCTGTGTAGAGTACTGGTTCTGGCGTTGAGTAATCAACTCCTGGAACTGGCTCCTAAAAGAAGAAGTGTCCACATCATCAATTGACTCATTCAAAAGGGGATTGGACAAGCACAGAAATCTATTGCAAAAGGATTAACATAGGCTCATGGCCTTTTATCTCCAAATAACAAGTTCGAATCTGAATCTGAAGACTGGTATTTAGTAGCGCGCGTGAATAAACTTATACTACCTTATGTCATCAGATTAAAATATGGAACCGTGGAAGTGATTTTGTAGCTGAAACAAATGCAGCTCGTGCTCTGACTCAACTTACCTAAACCGATGAGCACATTGCAGATTCTCACCAGATTCAGTCCAGAAGCAAATAGCAAAGCAATGTTCAAACGACAAGTGATATAGTCCTTCTGATACTCAGTTGAAACATTGTTGAAGGGTCCGGATGGGTAGGGGAAGAACTTTGACAAACCTTGATTGATGATCTACAAATATGAATTATAGTAACCTACAAGTTTGATGTCACCGGTTATTATAGATTTAAATAGAGTCTCGAGCTGTCTTGATGTCCTAACAAGAAGAGTTGACCCATTGACTATGTTTGATTCATTCAGAGATGAGAGATGATTCAGGTCCCCTGAAGTTGGTAAGGATGAATTTGAGTCATATAAAATGCAACCTTTGTCGATGAAACTAATTTGTGAAAGGTCACTGGATATACCAATGCAAAGTTCAGCTTCCTTAACAACATCTTCTATAAGCGTTACGGGTGAAAACCAATGCAGTAAAATTGGAGACTTCAAAAAAGATACAAGGAAAATTCTGAACGTATTTTGTTCTGTTCCATGACGCGGAGTCATAGAGACAGCAGAAACGGCAGACTCAAATTAAGATACCGTTAGTAGGACAGTGTCCAATATGCAATATCTGTTTAACTAGCTTGTGAACCAGTCGATTTCTTCGTGCTTGCTTCTTGGCCTTGCAGAACGGTTCTGGGTCTAAGGCAGATTTAGATGAGCAAAATCTGGTCACTCTGCTGGTATAGCGCTGGTATACAGAACAGAAGGTTGAGGGCTGGTTAATTTGCCTGGGACTGTGGTGCAGTTAGGTTCTCCAGATGTCGAGTTGTCAGGCAATTACTCAAACTGGTCGTTATAGAGAGTTGGGGATAGTGAAGAGATGATCTAGGAAGAAAAATGTGTCCAAGTGAAAGATAAAGAAAAAAGAACTGGTAGAATAATCTGCTTGCACACAAGTAGGACGAGAGAGGAGCAAAGATATACAGGACTTAGGTAGGTGAGGCTAATTCATAGCAAGTAAGAGTGGTGAAAAGGGCTTATATGGCTACAGTTGGGGTGAAACTAGTGTGGAGTTTGTAGCGTCACACACTTCCCCAAAAGCAATAGCCTAAGGTTTGACGACTTTCGACATCGATGCTGACCTTGATAGTTTAACTGGACTCGCTAAGCTGAAGGCACCCGGTCAAGCATCCTGGCCATTTGGCACGCTGTCGTGTTACGTTGCATAGCTCGTATTCGACTCTCTAGCCAGTTAGTTGGAACGCATTGGTATCTCGGCACAACCATCCAAATACACTATTCCATCCGACTACGCTATCGTGTTCTTCCTTGGTCTCGTATTCGTGGGTATATAACAAGTTCGAATAATTAGTGATTGGTCTTTGCGTCTGTCAAGTTCGCACCAAGACAAATCCTAAATAGGTGAGCCCGACGTGATCAAATATCCGACGTGATCACATATCCCGACCAATAACAAGTATTGAATTGGTGAGCCTGTTCCATTTTATATTTGTTTGTTGTTTTCACTTCGATAACATTTGTATATCCATTTACTACACTTTCTCATGTCCGACCACACTCTCAAGCCTATTCGTATTAAGCCGACTTCGAACACGATCCAACTCGTGCCATATTGGCCAGACAATGCAGAAACATGGTTTCTGTATGCCGAGGCCGATTTTCGAGAACGGGGTGTCTCAGATCCTCAATCTCGATTTCTTGCTGTCATATGCTCACTACCGCGAGAATTAAACAGGTATGTTACAGCAAACATGTTTAATCCTGAAGTAAGTGATCCTTATGCACTTCTAAAGGCCGCACTCTTGAAGAAAAGCGATCTCACAGATCGCCAACGTCTAGACGAATTGCTTCGTAACATCGAGCTAGGCAGCCACTCAGCTACTGAAGTCCTCGCACGCATGCGAGAAGTAATCGGTGCACGAACATTCGACGATGGCCTTTTCCGAGAACTGTTTCTCTCGAGACTACCACAACCGGTGCAAACCGTGTTGGTGACACTGCAGTCAGTCCCGTTTGATGACCTGGCAGCCTCGGCAGATAAAATACTGGAGATATCCAGCAGACCCGTCTCCAACGTATATCCTGTCTGCGACAAAACAGAGCGCCAGGATTCAGAGGTGACCAAGTTGTGCAACTCTGTGAAACGGTTGCTACGATCTCGAAGTCCTAGTTCACTTAGAACTCCACAGAAACGCGTCTTAGTGCATCGCAGAAACTCGCGTAATTGCCCCAAAACTAGACCTAACAGAGTGGAAAACCCTGAATGGTGCTGGTTTCAAAATACTTACGGAGACGAAGCCAGAAAATGTCGTAAACCATGCCGTATTAACAAGGACATGAACTCGGGAAACGGCCACGCCAGCACATATTCACGGCAATCCTAGCCAGTGTAAACAGCCGTTTGCTCTACGTCACGGATATTAAAACGAAAGTCCGCTACCTCGTCGACACCGGCGCAGAAGTTAGCGTTCTTCCAGCAACGACAAAGGAGCGTCATTATGACCCATCCTTCAATCTTCAAGCAGCCAACGGCAAGGCAATCGCGACGTTCGGGAGACGGTATGCCTACCTCAACTTAGGTTTACGCAAACCTATCACTGGATTTCCTCCTTGCTGACGTCTCTATGCCCATCATTGGCATAGATTTGCTAAACCATTACGATCTACTCGTAGATGCTCGCCGTCGACGACTGATAGATAACAACACAAAGTTATCTATTGGCGGCACCACCTATGTAGGTCCGAGTTTAGCCATCGTTAGGACTAAACAATCAGGCGACGCGTCCTACCAGGCAGTTCTGGAGAAATATCCAGAGTTACAACAACCGAAACACACTCTTCCGTGCATAACCAGCAATGTTATGCATCACGTCACAACCACAGGTCCACCTGTGGCATCCAAAGCTCGCCGTTTAGCCCCCGATAAGCTGCAAACGGCGAAAAATGAATTCGACCATATGCTCGAACTGGGCATTATCAGACCGTCAAACAGTCCTTGGGCATCGCCATTGCACATGGTTCCCAAAAAGGATAGCAACGACTGGCGTCCGACCGGTGATTACCGAAGGCTTAACGCCAAAACAACTCCGGACTGCTACCCTATACCCACGTTTACGACTTGACCGCAACCTTATGCGGCATGAACATTTTCTCGAAAATCGACTTGGTCAAAGCGTACAACCAGATACCTATGGCAGCAGAAGATATCGCGAAAACAGCCATTATTACTCCTTTTGGCCTGTTTGAATTCCTGCGCATGCCTTTTGGTCTTCGGAATGCAGCACAAACATTCCAACGCTTTATGGACGACGTCTTCCGTGGTCTGAATTTTGTTCATGTCTACATCGATGACTGTCTAATTGCGAGTCCAGATAAGGAAACACACCTTAAACATTTGGACCTCGCATTCGAAAGACTCAAAAAACATGGCATCACAGTTAACTTACAGAAGTGTGAAATAGGAGTTGAATCACTCAGCTTCCTTGGGCATACCATTGACAACAAAGGTATACGCCCATTGAGAGATAAAGTGGCGGCTATCACAAACTATCCAGAGCCGACCACTGTGAAACATCTCCGCACTTTCAATGGCCTGGTAAGTTATTACCGAAGGTTTATCCCTAACTGTGCCTCTGTCATGAGACCACTCACAGATCTACTTCGAGGAACTGCGAAGTTCGTGTCTCTGGACAACGCGGCTAGACTTGCTTTCTCCAAAGTCAAGGAAGCCATTTCGAACGCAACCATGCTTATGCATCATGACCCCAATGCTCCTCTGAGTATTGCTGTTGATGCATCTGATTCAGCAATTGGAGCAGTTTTGCAACAGTTGACTGACAACCAGTGGCAACCGTTAGCCTTTTTCTCGAGGCGGCTGCAAGACGCGGAAACAAGATACAGTACATTTGGTAGGGAACTCCTAGCCATGTACTGTTCTGTACGCCATTTTCGACATTCTGTGGAAGGTCGTGATTTCATTATTTTCACAGACCACAAACCGTTAACGTTTTCCCTCAGCTCGGCGTCTGACAAATACTCCCCTCGTGAGTCGCGACAGCTGGATTACATTTCCCAGTTCACGTCAGACATCCGCCACATTTCTGGAGCAAACAACTCCGCAGCCGACGCACTATCTCGAATAGCTTCGATAAACTATATCGAGGGTATTGATCTCGTTGAACTAGCTCGGCGTCAAAAGGAAGACCTTGAGCTGCATCATGAGTTGTCGTCCACAACTCTCAAACTGCGACTTTGTCCTGTTGGATCAGACAAGGATACAATTTTGTGCGATGTCTCTGCTAGTCAACCACGCCCAATAGTTCCGAAGAGTTGTCGACGCAACGTCTTCAATACGTTGCACAAACTCTCTCATCCAGGTGTACGAGCCACCATTAGGCTTATCGCACAACGTTTCTGCTGGCCTGGGATGAACAAAGACGTTAAGGAGTGGGCCCAGTCGTGCTTAGCTTGTCAAAAGTGTAAAGTCACGCGACACACGAAAAGCCCTTTAGGCTCATTTCTAGCCCCAGACATGCGTTTCGACCACGTCCATATAGATATTGTAGGACCCCTACCAGAATCTAATGGATGTACCTACCTTTTCACCTGTGTTGATCGTTTCACACGATGGCCGGAAGCAGTACCCATTAAAGATATTACTGCCGAAACAGTTGCTCGTGTTTTCGTCGAAAGATGGATCGCGAACTTCGGATGTCCATCCTACGTCACAACCGACCGTGGGCGCCAATTTGAGTGCGGACTATTTCACGCTCTAACGGCACTTTTAGGTTGCACTCGGTTCCGAACGACAGCCTACCATCCACAAGCAAATGGCATGGTAGAGCGTTTCCATCGACAGCTGAAAGCTTCCCTTTCAGCTACAAACATACCTCAGTGGACCGAGGCTCTGCCTCTAGTCCTACTAGGTATTCGTAACGCGTTGAAAGTTGATGCTGGATGCACTCCTGCAGAACTCGTCTATGGGACCACTCTTCGCCTACCAGGTGAGTTTGTTTCCCCTTCAACTTTCAAACATGTTTCCGACAGGGCATCTTACGTGACTAGGCTTACAAACGCAATGCGTTCAGTTAGGCCTTCTCCGATTAGACCGCAAACGACTGATGTTTTCGTCCACCCCAGTTTACAGAAGACATCACACGTGTTTGTTCGCCACGACGCTGTTCGTCGACCACTTGAACCACCCTACGACGGGCCGTTCAAAGTGATTAAGCGACATGAGAAATTCTATAATTGAGCGAGACGGACGTGAAGATACTGTCAGTATCGACCGTTTGAAACCAGCTTATTTCGAAGGCAACCCCATTGTAAGTGACGTTTCAGCTCGCTACATCCGACCGACGGATGACTCAATTATCGAAATTCTCGACGATGTGCCTGGTAATGCACAGCTGCAACAACCATCGGCGCAACAAAAAACACGATCAGGTCGAACCGTCAGGTTCCCAGAGTACCTGAAGTCATATTCAACTTAGCTATGTGTGTGCCAACCATTTTTTTTTTTTCGAGGCACTATTTTTCTTATTTACCGGCACAAACCCTCGTACACTTTGCCTTTT